TTATAACTTCTGTGCATTGACTGTTACCAAAAAGAAACCAATCCTAGCAGATTCAGGATTAACAACAATATATCATCCAGAGTTTTTGTGAAATCTGAAGATCACTTTTTTTCCTGTTATTCATATTGAAGATATATACTCCCACACAAAATTATGGTAATCAAAATTAAAAACCTCAAAATTTACATTTCCTCTAATACCAAGACAAACTTACTACATCTTACCCTCTAGTCTCTTATTACATAAAAGGAAAGGTTCTTTACAGTTCCTCAAAGAGAATCCTAATTGTCCCTAATTAATCAAAATAAGAATAAAGGAAAATCAGTTCTTTATCAAAATACATTGACTGAGACTAAAATTACGTGCTTTGGGCATCTGGGTGACTCAGTCATTAAGCGTCTGCCTTCCACTCAGGTCATGATCCCAGGGTCCTAGGATCGAGTCCTGCATCCGGCTCCCTGCTCTGCGGGGAGCCCGCTTCTTCCTCTGCCTCTATCTCTCATGAATAAATAAATAAATAAATAAAATCTTTAAAAATAAATAAATAAAATAAAATTATATTCTTCTATAATGTAAAAATGCCCATTTCAAATGGCTTCAAAGCTCTCATGTGGCCTCCACAAATGGTGTTTACATAGTGTTTTCAAAACACTATCAAAAATATTTCCCATAATAAAGAAACGTAATGAAATAAATACCACACAGAAACCTTTTTATCCAATGTCATAAAACTAAATAGAAAGACAACCCAACCCACAACACTTTTCCCCTGAAATGTATGTAGTAACATTAATAACAAAATTATCTACCAAACCAAATATATTCTCTTATAAGAAATTACTTAGATAAAACATAAGGAATTTCACTTATACTAAGTTATGGAATCCCTGTATCTCCTTCAATGTATGTCAAAGTTAATGAATAAGTATATATTGTGAATCTATAACATTTCTACAATAACCTATTGTAATTTCTTCTGTGAATTTAAATAATTTAATCTGTACACTGTCATCTGACAAATATAGCCACATTTATAACATCTTACTGACTTGTTTAATTTACCATTTCATTACACACATATTTTTCCAAATACACCATAAGCTCCTCTATGGTAGAGAATCATGTTCTATGTACATAGTATAAGTTCAGTAAATTTGGTTACTAATTACCTTTAAGAAAGCAGTATCAATAACTAGTGAAAAAGGAAGCAAATTGAGGAAGCAAATTGCAAAAGTTGAGGAAGCAAATTGCAAAAGTTGAAAAAGCAATGGTGGGAAAGTATTAAAGCAGTAGATGCAAACCACACGTTTCAGACATTTGGCAGAGCAGAAAAGGAGAGTGCTAACACATAAATTTCAGGTTACAGTCACTAAGTCTTACTTTTTAAGTAAATTATTACGAAGGGCTCTTTGCTGATCCCAGAGAAACAAATCCCAGGGATTTGTCTTATCTCCTGGTTCTACCTGTGCAAGTTACCTTGCATGCCAGTCCAGTTTCCTCATCAAAAAAAAATAAGGAAAATATTTTCATTTTACCTCACAGAACTGTTCTGAAATTCAAATGAGGTAATAACATACATTAAAGGGCTTTACAGACAAGTAGTATGTTAAATGCAAGGGGTTACTATTATTATTATTTTATTATTATTATTATTATTATTATTAAAGACGGATCCTACCCTTTGACCCAACAATTTTAATTCTTCATGTTTATCCTAAGAATCTAGGTGGACAAACGTACAAAGGTATCTGCAAAAAGATGTTCAGAGTAGCCCTGTTTTGAATGAAAAAAAATCTAAAAATAACTTAAATGTCATCAATGGATGACTGGCTTAACAAATTATGGTATAAACATGAAACAGAATATCATGCTATAATTTAACATGATTTAACAGATGTGTATGAACATGAAAAAAATGTTCAAGATAAGATAAAGCAAGAGGTTCAACTTTTGAGATGCCTTCCTTCATCTATCAAAATTAATCAGGTCCCCCCCATTACACTCCTCACAGAATCATCTATTTTTCATATATTAAACTCATCATAGTTTGAAATAATATATTTATATGTTTACTTGACAACATGTGTTTCCTTCACCAAATGGTAATGAAGATGGTGTACACACATACACTCTCTCTCTCACACATACACACACCTACATACATATGCAGAGGGGAGAGAAAGTTGCCAGTATTTTAAAATGTAGGAAGCCAAAATGAAAAATAAAAACAATCTAACAAAAAAATATGCATGCTTATATTACATCAGCACTATTGACCAAAAATGGGATCTGGAAATACATTTTGTCAAACGATACCATCAAAGCTCTTTGATTAGATTAGTATCTTCAAAACTGTCTTCACTTAAGTGACAAAGAATCATGCTATGTCCAAAAGAATGTAATGCTGTTTCCTTTGCAAGGAGAAATCTAGAAGAAAAAGCTTTCTTCGGGTCAACAGTCTCATCTGGTTAGAATGATGCACATTCTGCTGAAAATCCAGCTTGATATTAAATCAACCACCACCTATAGTTAGATAGTTATCTCTTACCATCTCTAGGCCACATGAGTTTTAATCATAAAATGAGTGATAATATCTTACCTTCATAAAGCAGAGAACTATACCGAATGAAATCTTGAATTCCCTTTTTATAATTTGTGATCTTCCACACCATGTATTCAATATCTGGAAAAAGGCCGCTAATCAAATAGGAACAGAAGCAGCTATCCTACTGACTTACAAGGCATGATCATCAAGTCTCCTTGAAACAATACTTCCATAAGGGAATGTGTCCTTTAGAAACTCCAACAGCAAACTTATGCTTCAATGAAGCATTTAATGGAAAGTCTGAGTTTGTTTACAGTGAAGTACATAAATAATTCTTGATAATTTTTCATTTAAACTCAGTTTTAGGGGAAGACAGAATATCACAGAAAATATCACACAGGAGGTGTTAATCACTCAACATTTGGAAAATACTGAAGAACAATACTAACATCACAAAGAGTTTAACTGCTACTAATCTCTACTTTTGTCCTGATACTCTGAGTTATCTATTCGATAGAGACTCAGGAACAATTTCTTGATATAGAAAATTTGAAAAGCATAGAATAGTAAAAAGAAATTTCACAATAAAAATAAGGTTTCATTCAACTATTCAGTGAACAAAGAGGTACATATTTAAGAATAAAAATAGAAGATATAACAAATTTCAAATTACTTCTACTGGTAAAAGGATAGTTTCTTAAAAAAATAATTCACCGGGGCGCCTGGGTGGCTCAGCTGGTTAAGCGGCTGCCTTCGGCTCAGGTTATGATCCCAGGGTCCTGGGATTGAGTCCTGCCATCAGGCTCCCTGCTCAGCAGGGAGCCTGCTTCTCCCTCTCCCTCTGCCTGCCTCTCTGCCTACTTGTTCTCTCTCTCTGTCAAATAAATAAATAAAATCTTTTAAAAAAAAAAAAAAAGAATTCACCACTACTTCCCCCAAAAAACTAATAATCCATGAAGAAGACAACCAAAAAGTCTTTAAAGCTGAAAATATAACAATACAATCATTCCCTTTAAGACTAAAACATTTCATAATTCTGTAGTTTAAGAAAAGTTAAAACAGGGCGCCTGGGTGGCTCAGTCGTTGAGCATCTGCCTTCGGGTCAGGTCATGATCCCAGGGGCCTGGGATCGAGCCCTGCATTGGGCTCCATGCTCAGCAGGGAGCCTGCTTCTCCCTCTCCCTCTGCCTGCCTGTCTGCCTACTTGTGATCTCTCTGTCAAATAAATAAATAAAATCTTAAAAAAAAAAAAAACAACACAGAATAGTCCTAATGAAGAAGCCAAAAAATGAAACATACAGCTTTAAAGATTGGTCAAAGGGGAAAGGGGGAATCCTAGTTTTGCCTCAGCAATGTCAAAAATGCAGAGTGGGAAGATCCAAACTTTTGAGCTCCAATTACTATCTGTAGGAGCCTCAAATTTCCTGCATCTATTAGTAAGAGCCCCTATTCCTGCTCTCTCCCCAATCTACTTCCCCAAGTGACTACCCAACTACCTGTCTGGAGTTCCCCAAACTCTTCAGGCAACCTTAGTTGCCAGAGATTGCTCTGTGCCTCTCCAAAATAAATGCTTACATTCTCTAGACAAAGCTTTGGGGATCAGAAAAAAAGGTCTCACTTAATTCCTCTTGTCAATGGAAAAAACATCATCTGTTGATTTAAAGATGGCCTTTTGAAAAGTTCCTATGAGCTGAATCCTTAGAATTCACCGACCCTCTGGGACAAAACACTGAAAAGAAAGCCAGGCACTACCAAAAGTTTTCAAAAAATGGAAGTCAACTGTGTCTGAGTACATCCAGACAAGCATTTTCTAGGGATCTCTTTGGACTGAAAAATAAGCACCTTCTTTCTCTGTTGTTGTTGTTGTTGTTGTTTTCCTTTAAAAGCTCCCTTACCAACTCAATCTTATGAAGTAAGAGCTACAACTTTCATAGCATGGTCTTCCCTTTCACCCTTAAACAACAAATAGACCTTGCCCACTAACTTCCTACTCTAACCAAATACTTTTATTCCTTTAACAGGACCCTTGATTCTGCCTTATATCCTGCCTGAGCTATTTCTGGTTTTTAAAAATTCTTCTTGGATTGTCCAAGTTTAAAGCTGGCCCAAGATTACTTTTAGCATGTGGCTGCATGCATGGACACATGCTGTCAAGTCTCTTAATTTATTGTCCCTCTCAGTCACAGATCTCCCCACTTAATAAACCCAGCAAGAACTCTTTGGTTGTCTTTTGGATTCTACTCCTTCCCTTCCACACAAAGTCGGGTTATGATATCTAGACCTTATTACTTTAAAAGGGCCAAAGCTCCAGGGATGGCGGTAAAGGAACTCATTTGGCTAGTCAGTGTTGCTCCAGACTTGGTATTAGAGAACTGAGGTGAGTAGGGCCTGCACTTTTGCCTGAGTGTGTGCTCCCTCCCTCCAGCTGCCCTTTCTAAACCTCCCAGCTTACTACCTGTTGGCAGTGCTGGTGTTGCTGCTCCCGTTGCTGTGTTTCTGTGCTCGGCTCAATCTCCTTGGGGGCTTTGAATGCTGCAGCCGGGGGCTCGGCATGGAGGGGAACGTGGAGGCATAGCCATGTTCACACTCTAAAGAGACAGCAAAAAAAAAAAAGAGAGAGAGAGAGAGAGAGAAAGAAACATGATAACAGGAATGTACCCAAATCCATGGATCCACAGATCTAAAGTCCCTGCAGTAAAATGTTGCTCAAAACAGCAGAAGAAAAGGAGGTAATATGTTTCCACTTTTTGGTTGTAAGATAAAATTCTCCTTACCAGGACATCGATTCTGTAACATTATATACAGACCCAACCCATCACCCGAAAGGGGTACAGATACTTCTTCTAAACCAAGTAATTTCTCCATCCTCTCCAAAATCCTTTTCTCCAAGAATTCTTGACTGAAACACGCTGATTTCTGAGACTAGCTGCCATCCACCTCAATTATTTCACCCGCCTCGAAATCCCCCTTTAGCTCTCTCCATTCTAGGTCTCTCACTAAGCGTTCGGTTTTCACGTATTTCAAACCCTTCAATTGCCTCCTCTCGGAGGACATGTTCTCCCCTGACACCTTAATTTCCAGAGTTCCTACTCTTCACTCCCCAGTCTCTCTACGTCTCTTCTAGTCTCGTCCCTAAATGGGGGCCCGTCTCCTCCCACCTCCGTTTCTCAGAGGTCCCTTCCCCACAGGTGTGCACCCTCCTCCCCACGGGCTCCTCGGCAGGCATTCCCTTCCTCGGCCGCCAGCCTCGCCTCCTCCACCCCTACCTGCGCCGCCGCCTACCCCCCTCCTTCAGTTCTTTCTTCCCTCTAACCTCCCAAGTCCTCGGGCTGGCGCCCACTCTCAACACACTCCCTCCCTCTGCTCTGGCCCACCTCCCCTCTGCCCCCAGATCCTCGTCCTCCCCGCACACACAGGCCCGCGCGGCCCCTCCCGCACCCCTCCCCTCGCAGGCTCCGGGTGCCCAGCATCACCCGCACCCCTCCCCACCCGCTCTCCCCTCAGGCGCGCACCCCCCCTTACCACGCACCTCCCCTCACACGCGCTCCTCTCCTCACACGCACCCCTCACACACGCACCCCCGCCTCCCCGCATCCCTCCTCACCCACGCACCTGTCGCCAGCGCACCGCTCCTCACACACGCACCCTCTCTCCCCTCACACACCCCTTCCCTCACACACGCGCTCAGCCTCCTCTCGCACAGGTGCACACGCTGGCAGCACCCTCAAAACGCTGTGCGCCTCCTTCCCTCACACACGCGCTCAGCCTCCTCTCGCACAGGTGCACACGCTGGCAGCACCCTCAAAACGCTGTGCGCCTCCTTCCCTCACACACGCGCTCCTCACTCACACTCCTCATGCACGCACCTCTTTACACACGCACCCCTCACGCACGAGCCCTGCCTCCCCTGCTCACGCACGTACCCCGCTCCTCACACCCGCACCCTCCCTCCCCTCACACATCGCACCGCATTCCCCGCGCGGAGGAGAGCGCGGGCTTGGGTGGTGGCGGAGGCGGGGGCGCCCAGCCGTTACCTCGGTCTCGGCGCTCCAAAAACTCGGCCGCCTCAAGCAGGCGCTGCACGTTGATCATCCGCACCCTCTCCATGGGCACCGCTGGTGGCGACCGGGGCCTCTCCGCGCTCCCTTCCCCGGCCGACAGGAGGCGCCGCAGGCGGCTACAGGCCGGCGCCGCCCCGGGACATGTGCGGCGGGCGGGCGGGCCAGCCCG